AAATAATTATTTTTGCGCATCCGTCAGTAATTTGTTGATATGGAACATGGGTTGTCGGATCACCGTCGACTTTTTTCCAACCAAAGTTGTTGTCAGTTTTCCGTCGATTGGTAAAGCCTGTCGGTGTTCCGTCAGAAATTCTGACAGAATTAATACCTCGGTATTCCGTAAAAAATTCTAACGGAAAACCGACGGATATCATTTTTCCGACAAAATAGAACCGAAGGCGTTAATGCATTGTTTTTCCGTCGAAAATAGGGTGTTTCCGACGACTAATTGATGGTTTAGCTCGTCAATTCTAATGTGCTTTCTTGTAGTCAGGAGACAAAAAGTCGAAAATTTCATAAGATGTATTATATGACGTGTGACTAAAAGAAGATTCCCACAATATGTCAATGCAAAGAATATCCATGCAAGTTACCAAATGATCATCGTTATTGGCCATGCAGTTTGGGATTTTTATGGTGAAGCGAGCATAAACATAATGGCGATATATGATTTAGACATGCTTTTCACATACGTATGGAATGGAAACCATGTTATGTTCATGATTTGGTATTGGCAATCACACAACAAACCGGTCAAACATTTCCAAAACTTTCATAAAAATTATTTTGTTATCTCTTGATATGTAAAGTAAAAAAAATATTTGGCGCATTACAATAATGTCAATATGTGATTTAGACATGTTTTTTCACATGTGTATGGAATAGAGACCAGGTTCTGTTCATGATTTGGTATTAGCAATCACACAACAAATCGGTCAAACATTTCCAAAACTTCATAATAATAAAAATTATCTTGTTATCTCTTGATATACAAAGTAAAAAAATTATTTGGCGCATTACAATAATGGCAATATGTTATTTAGACATGCTTTTCACATATGTATAGAATGAAGACCAGGTTCTGTTCACAATTTGGTATTAGCAATCGCACAACAAACCAGRCAAACATTTCCAAAACTTCATAATAGTAAATATTATCTTGTTGACTCGCGATATGTAAAGTAAAAAAGTTATTTGGCGCATTACAATAATGGCAATATGTGATTTAGATATGCATTTTACATACGTATGGAATGAAGACCAGGTTCTCTTCATGAACTCGTATTGACAATCGCACAACAAACAAACCAAATATTTCCAAAACTTCATGATAGTAAATATAGTAAAAAAAAAAATATTTAACGCATTATGGTAAGAAATCAAAGAAAAATTATTGTAAAATATCATTAAAAATTGCATCTTTTCAAAATTATGTCTTTACAATATTAATTTCGTTTTTTTCCAACATTTATATATGTATCACATTCATAAGAATAAGCAACATTTATATTCAACATTCATAAAAACAAAATCTATAAAAAACATTAGTATATCTAGTATTTCAATATAATAAATATTTTATTTAAAATTGTGATTGTGCGAATTTAAAAATCCAATATATTAATTTCTCGTATTTCTCTCACCAATATGTATTAGTTATGATTTTACGTAATTACAAGTGTCTTTAAAATTTGGTGTTTTACTATTGCGTTGTCATAATAAAGAAGAAGGGAAAAAAAAAAACAATCCAAAAAAAGTGAAAAACTGGTCACCAGGTCAGGTCTTAGTTTCCTTCCTGCAAACATCTCCAAAAGAAACCTCAGAAAAATAGGGAAAGTTTCAATTTTTCCCCTTTTCTTATTTCCAAAATCCTTGATTTCCTCAAGAGGAGAACGCGATTCATCAGATTTAGCGTCGTTCAGGGTTTGGGCTCTCCAACACTCAGGAATGAAAGGAGGAGCTTTTAAGAAGAAAACCCAGGTGGTAAACGACGCTGGTGAGGCGGATACGGCGGTGGAAATCGCCGGAGAAAGCCGGAAAAGAAGCGGAGACGGTGGGTTTGTCAGTGAAGACGGCGGAGGTGGAAGTGGAGAGTCGATTCTTCGCGAAATGGGTGATGATAGGCGAACG